GGATTAGATATTTCTATCTACACTATGGTGGATTCTATACTAGAATTATAATAATAATTATTCATGCTCTTAGCTTGTTTCACAAAATTGCAACGAATTTTAATATCGTCCATTTTTCATTTATGTTATACTGAAATTCCTTTTACTAGTCATCGAATGACCCATAGATCGGAAAATAAACGTCGCTCGTTACATATTTTTTCCACGTCGCTTTCATTAATTACGATGTCGTTAGAAGTTTGCCTTTAATTTCCCACACGAAACGAACGAACTATGGGACGCTTTGAAATACGAATTTCGGTCCACTTCAGCGTGGCGCGTTCGATCTGAATTATTTATTAGCGTTGCAATTAATTACGAGAAGGGACTCCAGCTGTGTCGGTCGCAATGAAGGGGTGACTCTTTATCGTATCGGAAATGAATCACAATTATCCGACTAATGAATGACATTTAAAAATAACTACGAATTACAATTCCAACATTACTCACCGCTCTCTATCCCTTCACACGTATTTCCTTTCAATTTCAACAATCACACAATGACTGTCATCACACATCGGTAAAAAACGAATTTCAACAACACTCTAAACAACAATATCCTTAATCCATTCGACATCGTTGAAACTCGCTCTCCGAGTCTTTCGTACACGTACGCCATTAAGTCCCCCCAAAAGTGTTCATTAAAACGCACATATATATCGTTCTAATTGAAAAAATACACTCGCGAAGTCATCGAACAAACAGCTCTTCAACCCAACAAAACCCTCTTCCGCGAATATCGTCCCTTCGCTTCAGTTCGAACCAATGACGAGTGTCATAACTCGCAGAAAGCCTCGGAAACAAAATGAAACGCGCGAAGCAGATTTCTCAAGGATAGAAAGAAATTGCACAGAGAACCTAAGCGAAATTCCTTATTACGGTTAGCCATTGTTCCCAACGAACTGCTCTCACTGTAAACTCGAAACGCTCTTGAGATAATCTCGAGGAAACCATTTCCGTTTGACGTCTTGCTTGCCTCTCCCACAAAGCTACCCTTCTTTGTCTCCGAATTCCACGTGGCTCTTAGATCTCGCGACACAAGCGTGATCAAAGACACGCATTGCATTCGTTTAGCAGAGCGATATTTTCCGACGAAACGTAGCGTCACTCGAAAGCGGAAGTAGCACCCGAGGAGTGTCTTTCCCGGCGTTGTTCCGCACTGTAAGCGGAACAACGAACACGGAAGCGTGCAAGGATAGTCGGGAGCGAGAGGAGCTAGAGCGAGTGGGAAATATAAATATGGAGGGTGAAGTGGCGAATATGAAAGAACGGCAAACAACAGCACTGTATATTATTACCAATTATTTATTATTACGACATGTTCGTTGACTATTATGTTAGAAATAAAAACTACATTGAGAAACTGGCCGGCTAAGTGAATCTCTGTCGAGGAGAAGCAACCCTCGAAATCTTCCACTCTCCACGAGATCTCCTTCTTCGTTTCACTCTCACACTTCTTGCAGCCCCGTCGTTCCATCCACCGCCGGCCCTTTTCGCCCTTCGTAGCCGTGGAACAACGAAGTGAAAGCGCGGGGGCACTCGAGCCGGAGGAAAAGCGGAACAAGAGACCACAACGTGGCTGGGGGTCTTCGAACGCGACCTATTATTTCCTGTTTCTTCCTCGTCCGGCCACTCGAGAACGATCCCGTGAGCTTCGAGTGCTCGATCGTATCAGATTCGCCAGACTCGGAAGCAACCACGCTATTGTTTCGAAGAATTATCCGTAGGGCGAGGGTGAGGGGTAGAAGAGGACGGTTAAAAAGGGATGAATGTTTCTGGCGAATAATTTTATTCTCGTGAATCGCTGTTTCAACCGTGGTTCTTCCTGGGGCCAGCACCTGGCTTCGAATTCCTTCGTGGACGGTAAATTGGTCGGCGAAGATTTATTTTCAGGATCCTTCGACAATTTCACTTGTTTTGACGTAACACGAGACTCAAGTTGAGGCTAAGTTTGCTTGTCGATAAGGTAAAGAGAAGGTAAAGAGTTTCCGAAGGAGTAAAAAGGGATTATGAAATGTTTATTTTTAAATTGTTATTTAGGTTATTGTGTATAGAGGAATTATTCTGTAGAAATTATTATTAATTTAGGTAATTTGAAATGTAGCATCACTAGAGTAATCTCGTGATTATCTGTGATAAAGTACGAAATTTAATTTATATCGTGCATGTTTCGGATATGAGATCTATTATATAATGAAATGATAATAATATATAATAATATGTATATAACATACCTCATATTTAAAATGTGGCCGATTTAAATTAAATTCCGTGATTTACACATAATATAATTATACATAATACGTATATAATTTTGTGAAGCAATAATTTCGAATGCAGGACTTTTTAATTAAAATTTCGGAAAAGATTATTTCAATCTTGGTTTGGGTTAGTGTTAACTATTGTAAAATTCTTTGAATCGTTAATTTGTTTACCGAGAGTAAAATTGTAATATCGTTTAATTAAAAAATTTGCGGTATTTGTTTTTGATTGAGAGCATATATCGTTGACTGAACAAAATTGCTCACGATAGACTAATGGAATGACGTAGATCGGAAAAGCTAAGTGTATCATCGTGGAAAATGTCAAGCAACGACAATATCGATGTCATCAACACGGATAATTCGATTATTTTAAACTACGTACTAATAACTCATGGTGTGATGGGTGAAATAATTTCAAAATCGTTATTTCGAGATCACCCATATTACTTACGCTAGTACAAAGATCGTTATTAAATAATTTAACCGCCATGATAGCGTTTTAAAGTCCTTTCTAACTGGAAAATTGAATTTCATGGACGAGCTTAAGGTACGTCGTGAAGATTTAATAAGTATAATGTTAGTATAATTAAAAGGGTAGTGCAATAACTTTGGAATCCTGAAGATTGTGTATCATAATCCTTCAGAGAATTGCAAATTTTAACACGTTCCGTGCCACGTGTACCATTTGTGGTATACGTTAAATTTAATCTGCAGGCCATGTATACCATAAATGGTACACGCAGACATATATATTTAATGCGCTGAAAACATGTTTTATGACAAATTTAATTCCGAAAAAAATATGTTTCCACTAAAAGAATGAGGCATTATACAAAACGCAGTGTAGAACAAAGCACATAAATTTGTTTAATTGTTATATGTACAGTAATTATTAATTAAATACTGCAGAACGTCACTACTCTTTTAATTCTTTTTACTAATCAAAAATTTTCGAACTGACTGTCTATAAATGGTACACGGTGTGATAACTACTCTGAACAAACTAATTACTTATGGATTGAAGATGTAACGACATACTGTGCGATAATATATCAACTTTTAGCCAAAACAACAAATGGTCTGGAACGTGTTAACTTAAACATAGAACTGCCATAATGAATGGAAACTTATTTTCTTGTTAGTAGTATTATTATTATTGCCGAGTTTTCCTCTTCTCTACCGTCTAAATATCCTTACCCCTTTTTCAATCCAACGAGAAATGTCTCACATTTTTCTACATTTTCAACAAACCTCGCGTACATAATGTCACGAATCTTCTTCTTCTGCACAAACTCCGTATATCGAAAACAGCTTGGCACGGAACGTGTTAATAACAACCTTTTCAAACCGTTTTAAATAAGCATAAATAAAGTCACGAAATTATAAAACGATAAAAATACGTGAAAATCCTGTTGCGAAATAATCATGTCTAATTAACACCAACTTTGTTACCATTCGCATAACTGTTCAATTATCGAACAGTTACCGTTACCTATTTTGCTTTTCCTTTTTCCCCGCAACTTTATTTTCTGCTAATTCAACGGATTTGAAATCAATTGCTGAATGTGCATTCCATTAAGCAATCGGAGGGATCGTGTTTTTCCGAAACAATGCCTCGTGGACAAAACTGGTACGGGAAAAATCAATATGGAATATTGTTTAAGGGCTGCAGCCCCAGACTCCAGTGCCATTGAAATGGCATTTATTCTCTCGACTACTATTAAATGATAAACGCTGGAAGACAAAGGGCTCGTAGCAGATCCCGCATGTCGTTTTGTAATCCGAATAATTTCGTCGTCAGTTTCGACTGAGCGATCGTGAAACGGGACGCGTAGGAGTGAGAGTAATCAATTCTTTATTTTCATTCTTCTCAAAGAAATTCATGAACAAGTAGAGGGCGAAACGCGTGTAATAAATTGTACACCGTGTCAAAGGCAGCTTTCTGTTTCAAAGAACTTCTTTTCGTTTTTATAGCTCGCATTTTCTAAATAAAGATTTTATGCAGACTTAATAAATTGTGGTATTTTATTCTGGAGGTACTTTGTTAAGAGGGATATTCGTAAAAATTTTTGTATCGTGTAGTTGGGAATATTAAAATTGGAATTTAGTTAATTAAGACACGAGTTGATTAAAAAATGGATTCTTATTTTAAATGAGTGAAGGATGAGAATTCTTTCTCTCTTTCTCCCTTCTTGAATAAAACCACGGTAATTCTTCTTTCTGGTATAAGTTTCAGTCAGGTTTTTAATTTTTATGTTCGCCCATAATTGTGTAAGAAATGCTTATGGAGGTTTTGTGTTATTTTAAAGTATAGTAATTATTTTGATAATATTGAAGAATTTAAATATTTAAATAATTATCGAAAATTAAGAAGTAGGTGCTTTGTTAAACGCGAGTCCAATAATATGGGTTTCAAATAGCAATGAATCTTTTATTAAGTAAAATTTGTTTAAATATCAAAGTTTCCGAAATTAAATTTCCACAGGTGACGTTATATCTTGATATTATTATATTACACTTTCATTTTACAATAATAATTAATAATCCATTTTAAACTACAGGTATAACATAATATTTAATAAATAGGAAGATGTTTCATAATTTTCTTATGAAACAATAATTTAATTTCAAGAATATTGTATCACTAATAATACTAGATAGTTCGAATAATCAATGGAATGTCTGAATACGATTTTATCAAAAATTTTCGTGAGGTGTGAAAGCCCTGGTTTCCGATTGTACAGACGGTGTGAAATTCTCGTGTATTTTTGGTAATATTGGTAAAATCTTTGTGCCTTTTATATTTCCTTCATTGTCCGATCTTGATATTTGGATTTGCAATTTTGGATGTTCACCTTTGACCATCTGAAATAAAACAATATATGTTATGAAAAATTGCATAGGGAATAAATGAATATGTTTATAAATAAACTGTAAATTTCTTGCATATGTTTTTACAGTAACAAAATATTAATCACTGAAATTACACGTGAAAGCTTGAGCTAAAATCGTTTTCGATACATATTTCGAATTAACGTTTACATTTTATCTTTTCCGCTTTTTCAGTTAGTTATTTTGCATATTTGATATTTCGCAGTATGATCCTGTTCGTCGTACTAGTTGCTAAATATTCATGGATAATCAATTCTTTCGTTATAAAATATTATAGAATAGTTTTCTCGTGTGAAATATTTCGTTATTCGTAATATTTTATAATTATCGAAAATGACCAGAATTTTAGATAATTACTCAGCAGGTGAGAGACGTGAGGTAGAAACGTAAATTTGCAGTGTTATAGAATCGCATATAATGCATCATTTAGTTATTAATCGAGTCACATAGAAATTCTTTTGCAGTCCTTTCATTCTGTTAATACATTTAGACGAAATTTCAGAATTGCAGTGGAATTTCGGAAATTTGGTTCGTGGTATATCCGTTCCCCTCAGTTGATATCACGATTTCATTTAAATTCAACTCATCGACTCATATGTACATACGTGTAGGCAATCTCTCAAATAAATAAAATTTCTTTGCGCTTTCTATCACGTCTCCGTAAACACTTCTACAGTGATTTCATACTACACGTATCTCATGCGATTCTTTGTCAGAAAAATATAACTATGTCTGAATCATTTCCTTACATCTCATTCTATATTTTAGGATTACATATATTTTTCCTTCACATGCTAAATATAAATTTTTTATTAAAATTTGTAGAATGATAATAATAATAATAGGTTTGAATAACATGTTTCAATATTAAATTCCTAGTAATACGTTTCAATAATAAATTTTTATTAGAAAGCTTAGATATTCTATTCCAAATCTTAAATTTTTATTTATCGACTTTTAATTCAGTATGTCGTTATTAAATTAGTTGACTAAATTTTTTAATAAAATTTGTAGAATGATAATAATAATAATAAGTTTGAATAACATGTTTCAATATTAAATTCCTAGTAATACGTTTCAGTAATAAATTTTTATTAATAAGCTTAGATATTATATTCCAAATCTTAAATTTTTATTTTTCGACTTTCAATTGAGTATATCGTTATTCAATTAGTTGACTAGATAATTGTAATAAAACGATTAGTTATTTTCCAATTAAACGATCAAAATTCGTTACGAAACGAATTTCACGATTTCAATCTCACGCCCCAAGCATTCGATTTTTAATTATCGTTCTTACCTTTATATACACCTTTTTGTCGTTAAGGTTGACCACCTTCGAATCGGTATCGCTCTCATCGTAGATATAATCATTCTCGTTGTCGTACAGTGGAATAGAAATTTTTTCGTATTTCCTCTTTTTGTGCACGTAATTATCATCCCCGTATTTGTCCTCGCGTTTAGGTAATTGTATCAGGATGGTGTAAGGCTGATTCTCTACGCGTCCGTCGAATTCGTCTCTCGCCGAATCGTACCTGAAACGTCAATTTGTACCTCCAGCGATTCTTCTAACGAGACAAATTTTAGTTACGAGTTATAATAAACCCCGCGTTACTCGTGAACTGTCCTACGAGTAACTTGTGGTCCAGTTTTCGATCCACTTACCAAAAACGAGATGTTTCGAGTCGAGTCACTCGTGTTTAAATCAAGTTAAAAGCACCACGTGCGATTTTCTAATTAAATTTAACGCCGAAAATGTCAAAATTTACCCTTCTCCCATTCCGCGAATCTCTCTTTTTCTCTATAGTTCACGTCATCTAGTCAATGAATACACATCGTCGAACGGGCAAACCGAATCGCGAATTTCGCAAAATGGTAATAATTGGGAAATGTGTCGTTTATTGGCACGAGGATTTATGTTTCTTGGAGCCATAATTATTTGTGACAATCGTGTAGGTGCTAACTATCGGCGAGACTTTCAAAAATTTAGCCTTCGACGAAATTTCGCTTTTGGGGTACCTTCTGTTAAGTAAATTTAATGGTTTTCGATATATATTTGTCTGAATTATGTATTTAGGTTTATGCAGTATTCAGTTTATTATTTCCGGCACTCTGACTTCTAGCATAAATCAATTTTTGTTGATAGTACTAATTGCGAGACAGTTTCAAAATTGATACAGGGTGTCCCAAAAATATGTATACACACTTTTCGTGATTATAAAAATAGTATATATTTAAATGGATTACAGATTAAGAGCACAAATAAATTTGAAAGAATAAGGTATTAAAGTGTGTATATGTTTTTTTGGGACACCCTGTATAAACACTAGTAGTATCATAAAAATAGTGTCAGAATTTATCTCCTGTTTAATTCCATTCTTCAAATTACTACGATTGTTACGTATTCCATTCGATAGGTACCAATTTTTATTTTATAATTTATTTATATTATTTTATTTTTGTATTATTTTATAATTTTTATTTTAATACTGCAATATCAAGTACCATAAAAAGTACTATTGAGAGTTTTTCTATAAAAGAAAAATTCTTGTGACATTTCTATTCCCATTTTTTTTTAAATCACTACTATTATTAAATTCTTAATTCTTACTTAATTCTTCTTAAAATACTGTAGTATTACGCGTTAGAAAAGGTAAATCTATTATTTATTAATTGTTTTTATTTACATTTAAATTAACACTAAACCTATCATGGCTTATCAAATGCCTAATATATGAAGGAATAAAATAAAAATAAGTTCAAAAAAAAAAAAAAAATGAGAGACGAGAAAATATTGAAAAATTGATCATATCAATATTAATAGAATATTCGCAAAGACAAGTCGCCATGTTGAATGGGAAATTTTTAATTAATAATTTAAAATTTGGACCACCATTTGGACCCTGGTAGGTTTAGCGTTAATGGAGACTAACGTGTCTGAACCATATTCATATCATTTTTGTTTCACAAACAAGCCTCGTATCATAGAATTTAGTATCCACTCCGTACCTGTTATTACTTGGTCTACGAGAATAATAGTCTTCCGGCGATATCCTCTTAGAATGGTAGAACTTCGATGATTTGTGATCTGCGTACCATCGAGGCCGCCGCCATGGCCTAGGTTGATAGTACTTGTACGGCCTGATTCGTTTGTAACCATCCGCCATTTCGATAATCTCGCCCAGCAACGCGAGAAATGCAACTAGAAAACAGTGCTGGTGAAGCGATAAATTATTTAATTTTATGCAAATTAAGAAATTATCGAACGCGAATATTATACTTTAATAATCCTTTGCACTCAACGTCGTTTTCGTTACAGAAAAATAGTAATTCAAAGACTTTCTGTCATAGAGTCGACGATATTTTTAAAATGATAAATGAGAAATTATGAGACAGTCTACACATCGTTAGGTAATTTTAAATTTGATATATTAATTAACGTCGATCATTAGAATCTGATTAAATGGTGACTGGGAGTCACCTCTCGAGTGCAAAGGGTTAACATTAATAAATCTAATCATCTTAGTTCAGGTCGAAATACAGATTTCCACGCTATACGCTGTTTCCCTCTAACATTAAATCTGCCATAATCGGTTAAACGACACCGAAATTTATTTTATTGTATCACTGAACATTATTGACGTCAGGTGCCCAAAGTGGTAACGTTGATTGCAGAATTTTTAAATAAAAAAAAATGAAAAAATGATTATTCGAATCATTATAGGTAGGTTTAACGTTAAAAAGTCATTTTCCAATTCCACTGTTGCAAACATTCGAAAATTTGGACAACAATGGCAGGTAATTAGGTAGCCTAACTTTTAGAGGCTTTATTTACATAAAGCGATTTTCATTGTTCCCTCGTTTCATATATTTTTAATCTAACGTTGTTATTTACTTTCGACGACTCGATGGCTATGAAAAGACCGTGTAGCACGCCGGAAATTTTGGGAAGGAATTAATCGCGATGCGAATTTATTTCCACGAGTGTAGAATTATTTTGCAAATAAACGTGCAACAGGCGTGTTATTTTATTGTCATTATACGGGATTGCATGAACGGTTTTCGTTTGTTGGCACTGGCTAAATAGACACGCGTCGAGCGTCATTAAGTTTTCCATGAAAGAGACTTTCTACGAGTACCCTTCACGCTGTTAAGACGAAGGCGGATCAAATCGGTCAATTTGCCTTGCACGTGTCTATGAACGGCACGACCAACTCGTCAGACCCGGTGAAAGTTTCCGTTTATGTCGAGCTCTTTATCTTTATTGCTCGGTTAACGGTATATGTATCGTGAACATTTCTTCCAAAAACTTTCTTCCAGTTTCTGCCGTTAGCCATTGTCCGTCGTGATGTAATAATTAAAAAAAGATTCGTTCCTTTAAAAAATTGGCGTAAATATGAACGTATTGTTTCTAATACCTATTATATCTCCTGTCAGATCAAATTTAGAAATTTTGGAAAGTGGAAAGTAGTTTCATTCAAATTATTTTCGATTCCAATAATGATGCTTTGGGTCGGTGATATTAATTTTTTGATAAGGTTCAATTGGGAAAATTAACTCGCATTTTTCCTTTTTTTTCTTCGACATCTAAAATTCTAGGAATGAAAGATTTGCTAATTTCACGAGCAAGAAATAGTTTATAGCTAATATTACATCATTAAAATGATCTTATCGTCTTCGATATCTTGTTCCTCGGATATTATAAAATATCATAAATAGAAGATTTGCAAAATTCAAAGAGGAAGAAATTTAATTTAAATTTGTTTATTTTCATTATTCTTTAAAAATTATTAGAAATATATGTAAAGGTACTTTTGATTGGCAAATATAAGGAATAAGAGATGGTGTTTTATTCCAATATATTTATTACGAGCTAAAAGAGACTTAGGAGTAAGGTATAAACTAAAAGGCTAAATTAATAACTGATCTATGATCGCGCAACTACCACTCTCACATCGACTCTTCTTCAAACTCCGTAAAGGACTGTCTTAGGCCAGCCGTTGCAACCTTATTTAACCCTTTGCACTCGACGACTTTTGGCTAAAGAAGAATAGGAGTTCAATGATTTTCTGTTACAAAGCTGACGATGTTTTCCTGCACATCATTACATTATCTCAAATTTCACATATTAATGAATATCGAGCTTCGAAATTTTATTAAATGGCGACTGAAGAGCGCCTCTCGAGCGCAAATGGTTAAACCTTGCACTCTGTCTTCTTTCGTACTCATGCTCCCTTTCTCAATCACGCATTTCTCATAGCCTCGCTTTCGGTGGGTCATGTACCCTAAACACTCGGACGCCTTTCGCTCTGCATTTGCATTCGATACAGTCATAAATATCCCGTTCATTCGATCCTTGCACGCGGTCACTTGTCCTTCTACGTGCACTCCAGACGTCACCCTGCATATTCGGCTTCAACTCTAGGCTGCTGTTTATTGTTCATTATCAGCTGAGTAGGCCCAAGTGTTCCCTTGCATTCACTCTCAAACCCTAGCATTCCTACATGTGTCTTAACACTATGAGGTCCTGTCGCACCACGTTGGTATCATGCGCAAATGATGAGTCAGTCCTACCGGTACCAAACAAAAGAATCCCGATTAGACGTGCGGACGACATAGTGTTAATTATCAAAAAGAAATGGGATGACAATCGTTGGATTTGTTAAAATTGCTATTTATTATTTTCAATATTTCCCTCGTAATGTGTCATAAATGTTACGAATGGAATATTAGAAAATTTTGAAAAATCAAATATAATTGACTCGGAATAATTTACAGCCGCCATTATTTATAATTCGACTGGTAGCATTTATTACCTTCGCTTCTATGGTACTATGGGGCCATTTAACACGTTAAACAGCACGCTACACCCCTTGTATTTTGCATTATCGAACTGTCGCGAGGATGAAAATTTTTCGATTTATATCGGCGGAATATCGACGGTCTTCGATTTTGATTTTCTTAGCAGTTTCGAAAATCAAACAGCGTTGTAACAATGCGTTATGATAAACATCGTGAGTGCCATCAGAGACAGGAGATACCGTTGTTCCATTAGGGTACAAAGACATGTTACGTGATGAAAGGAAGAGAGTGACACGCGTGTGTACACGCATGATTAGACCATATCTCCCGTACGCTTTTGCTTTCAACTCTTGCGCTCAATGGTCTTTGTCACGTATACAATTGAGAATATGTCAGTTCCGTTTCTTTGGCATATTTTCGAAACAATGGTCTTCTTTTGTCTAGAAATAAAACAAAATTCTACAAGGCTGCGTTTATAACTTTCATTCCGTACGGAACATTTCCTGTTCTTTGTCTTCCTATTTGCTCTATAAACAAGCATTGCAATATGAATAAATAGGGAAGCTTCAATTTCGTTCGTTTGAAGTATTATTTCGAATATTCTACGAAACAAAATTGTTCGAAGTTGAGTAACGTGGAACTGAGTTTGTCGAGTAATTTTCCTTTCCGTGAAATAAATGCTTGGAAAGTACCGAATTTAATTTATTTTGTAAAAATTAGACGATATAAATAGGAGAAAGGAGTTTAATAATAATGATAATGCAGAGTAAATTTTCTTAATAAACTTACTCGATGATTTGTATTTGTATATTATTAAATATCGTGTCTCGTAAATGTTTAAAAGAGCGAAAAGAGAGAAAATAAAATTTTTCTTTGCGGTTGAATAATTATTTAGAAAACTGAACTGTAGGAAAATATTTCGAACCCAATTCAACAAATAAATAATGAAAGGATTTATTTCCTTTGAAAATTCGATCGATCAAATGAAACCAATCGCTGTCCATGTAATTTCAAAACAATCCGTCATTGTTTGCATAAATAATATCCGACGTCGATATTATATGGATTATTTAAAATAATTTTATAAAACTCGGAAGAAACCCCATTCGGAATAACAATCGATACTCCTGTAGCGTAATATCGCATAAACACACGGTGAGAACCTTATAGTGATATATAAACGAGATTAAAAGTACACGCGAGTACCAGGATCCCTTAATTAACCAGGTGATCAATTAATCATAAAAACTTAATATCCTCGCACCTTCTCTTAACACTTCTGATTACTTTATTCGTAATTAAGTACCTGTCACTTTTCATTTATTTATTCATAATTAAGTACCTGTCACTTTTCATTTATTTATTCGTAATTAAGTATCTGTCACTTTTCATTTATTTATTCGTAATTAAGTACCTGTCACTTTTCATTTATATATTCGTAACTAAGTATCCGTCATTTTTCATTCGTCCTGGGTCGATGGAATTCATCAGACGAGGTCTTCTTGGAAATAATTAAAGCTACATCTACATAACATCTATAATACTGTGAAAGCTTGCACTCTCCCTATCGTCACTTATTAATTTTGTCGTAAATGAGTATCTGTCACTTTTCATTTTTATATCCATAATTTTGCGTCTATGGGGTATATTAAACGAGGTTATTTTGGAAGTGATCAAAGCTATGATCGATTTTCACATTATTCAATTTTTATCGTATTGTAAAATTCTATACTAATTTTTTTACTGTCACTAATTAGTTTACTCGAAATTAATTGTCAGTGCTTATAATTTCCCATTTATTAAGTTCGTAATTTGAAATTTATTTCTTTTCAATTATTAATCCATAATGCTCTGATGATGAGTCCATAAACAGAGTCTTGATATAGGTAATCCAAATGATTATTTGCCTCGAAATAATTTAATTTTTATCGTACCATAAATCTTTATACTCTCCCTTATATCGTTGCATCTTATTAATTTATTCGAAGTTAATTCTAAATATTCTTAATATCCTACTTATTTTAATTATCATAATTAAATACTTATTGTTTTTCACTTATTAATCCATAATCCCCTGTTGATGGACTCCATCAAAGTCTTCATATAGAAAATCATAGTTACCTATATTTACTTTCAAACTACCTCGTGTTTATTGTACCATAAAACTTTATACCCTCTCTTCTATAGTTATATCTCATTGATTTATTAATTCTAGGTCTCTGACTTTTTCCATTTATTTATAAGCCATCAAATATCGATCACTCTTCATTCACCTATCCACAACTTTCCGTACTTGAAATTCATCAAACAATACTCTTCTTGCAGATAAAAAACAGTCTATTTTCAGATTATCTAATAATCACATAAACCTCTATACTCTTATTAATTTATTTCGAATGAACTGTCAATACCAATTACCTTCCATTTATTTATCTCATCAAATATGGATCACTCTTCATTCATCTATCCACAACTTTCCATAGTTGAAATTCATCAAACGATACACTTCTTGCAGATAAATAACGAAGTCCATTTCCAAATTATATAATTGTCCCATAAACTTCTATATTCTTATTAGTTTATTCGAAAGTAACAGTAAATACTTATAATCGTCCATTTATTCACATGACAATAAATATCGTTCATTCTTTATTTATCTATCCACAACCTTTCACAGTTGAAATACATCAAGCAATACTCTTCTTGCAGTTAAACAAGAGAGTTCATTTTTAAATTATTTAATAATCCCATAAATCTCTATATTCTTATTAATTTATTTCAAACTCACTGTCAATACCAATCACCTTCCATTTATTCACACGACATTAAAGATCGATCACTCTTCATTCATCTATCCCTAACCTCCCATTCTCAAAGTCCATCAAACAATACTCTTCGCGCGTATCATCGAACTCGCTATCCATCAACCTTCTATCGATCCATAAATCTTCGCGCCATAAATTAAAATCGATACTCACTCGTCCAAGCATGTTCATCGTCAGAATTCTCAAAAATTCACCCTCTGTCCAATTTCCCAGCAGCCCTTTGTACACAGGTTTGAGTGCTAAGGATGCACAACGGAGACTACCATAGCACAACAGGCGGAGCGTAGCAACACGTGCGATTCACCACTCTAGATCCGAGTTTCCTTCGATCGTTCACCGCAATCGAACAGAACAAATCGCAACGCGAGCGACATTTCATGGGCCCCTGCTCGCGGTAACGAGTTCTCGCCTTCTCCGATGATCTCTTCTTCAACATGCGTGGTCACATGACTGGAAAGTTCGCGTCGGCCGAACTTTCTTTCATATTTCGCCCCACTTGCCGACTACGTGAGAGAAAATTTCCATCCGACCCCTTCCACCGGCCCCACCCCATCCACCAATCGTATTTTTTCCTCTCTTTTATCTGCGCTAAATCTCAGGCAACGCGGACAAAAGTTGCGGCCAACCCGATCGTATTTTTTCCTCTCTTTTATCTGCGCTAAATCTCAGGCAACGCGGACAAAAGTTGCGGCCCCTGTTAACGAAGCGATGGCTGGAAATCTTTTTCCATTGGTCGCGTTGCCGCGTTCATTTCGTTCGTTCGCGTGGAACTTCTATTGATGGAAAAAGCTCCTTTGTGACACGTGGACCACGTAGTTTCTGCCTTTCTTCCTCTCGTTTTCTTTTGTTTTATCCTCGTCATCCTTGTACCTTTTATTTCCATTTTCCCCTTTCTGTTTTAATTTTTTCGTCCCTGCTTTAATATCGAGAGATGTAGATCCTTTAGCATACTTCACACGTGTATAGTAGAGATGTCAGATCGATTATAGTGTAGAATATGAATGGTGATATGACTAACAGATTTGTTATTTTATTTTACTTTCTTTTCTTCGTTTTTCAATTTTTTCTTTCCTTTTCTTCAATTTGTTTACTTGTTTACTTGTCGTGCATTCTGATATCGAGAATTGGGAGTCCTTTGTGGTGCAGCAACTAATTCTAGTTTTTCAAACTAATGCACTGTATGTATATATTAACTACAGTTAATATTAATAACATACAGTTAATAATATTAACTACAGTTTACATTTCTTTTTACAAATTAAACTCTACGTGAATAATGGTCGCGACAAAATGACAACGCAGGGATTACAAAATAGATCAACGAAATTTCGTTTTCTGAAAATGGAAAGGCCTTTCACAGATTTTCATGCCCCGAATCCGAATCTTTAAACAAAAATTATTTACTCTCCGTGATTTATGAAATAAATAAATGAAAAATATCGGGTTTTGCTATTTTTACGAAAATATTCCAAGGATAGTAATTTTTTCCCAATATCTTTGTCAACCGTTTTGAGTAGTACTAACCTTCCCCTGTAAAATAAAATCAGATTTATAATCGAACGATTTTTTTTCTTTTTGTTTTACCGCTTTGAAGTTACTCAAGAAACACTGAAAATCGTAAAGTACTATCGATATACTATAGAGTACTATGCTATCATTTTGTCATGTACTGTAGATACACATAATTTCCGCCATTCCTTCTTTTTTTAATTTTATCTTCTTTATTTATGTATTTTTGTGGTACATTTTAGTATTGAGAATCATAGGTCTTATATAGTTTCTCGTTTTCTTTTATTTTATCTTCTATTTATTTCTTTATCCTTTGTGTGTAATTAGGTACATTTATAGTAGGGATCTTCTTTACCTTTTGTTCTTCCTCTTCATTCACGCATTTATTTTTGCGATATATTTTATTTTTATTTAGTATGGAGAATCGTAGATGATAAAAGAATCATTTTCTTTCATTTCATTTCCTTCGTTATTTATTTTTCCCTTTTCTTTTCTACATTTCTGGGGTGTATTTTAATAAATGGTTGATAGTGGTTCAATTTTTATTCATGGGAGGGGCAGTTTTGGGCGAACGTAGATATAATAAGCATTCGAGAAAGGAAAAGATATATTTCGATAATTTCTTTGAGATTGTATAATGGGTCAATATGTAGAATTTTCTATTGTCATGGGCCATCCATTGTTCGTTTTATTCTGTCGTTACGAATTCGCTATTCGCTCTTCTATTCCATCGCCTATTGTCACGGGGATCCTATTGTGAACAATTTTCTATTGTCTCGTTGCCCTTACTCTTTCCTAAATATTTCCTCCTCTAGAGACCTCTTTGCGTCAATTAATTTATCAGTATCTCCTTAAACATCGATATCGATCCATCATAAGATTTTTATTTTTCACCTTTCTCTGATAAAAATTATATCAATTATTTATATATCAATTAGTAAACGAATCGTTTTGAAAATAATTATAGACTTCTCAGTGACGTCTGTATCTATGATTTAAGCCTAATGCTGCAAGTGTATCGATTAGCTGAATTAATCTCAGTTCCATCGATTAGCGAAAATAAATATAAATTTAACGATCTCGGCTGTATCGTTATTTATGATTTATCTGATATGAAAAAGATTCTTGTTACTTTTTACCCGATAACGAGGTCCAGAGTGCATTCGACGAACCATAAATCATATCTGACAGTGACGTATTTTTCACTGCATCGTATAAACAGTAAACGGTTTCCAATTTTTCTATGAGAGGAGTTTCCATTATTTTCGAACCAATGAATATAACATTATGATATTATTTGCTTGATTTATGAGTCACATAATAATCCTCTCGAACATAAACTCGTAATACGAGAAATTTTAACTCTTGACATTTAATCGATATAATCAATTTTTCATTCCATTTCTATTTTTATTTTTTTCATTTTATTCTATCCTTTCTCTGTACATTGGTGTACATTCTTTTGATTAATTGTTTGTATTAATTATTCCTCGTATATTGCGTTTTACGATGAACCCGCTGTACAGTAGTGTAATTTGTCAGAATTTCTGGTTTGAAACAATTCCTGTGTCAGCCCGTAACACGTTTGGTAAATTTTGGTAATGAATTCCCTTCGTAGTGATCATTTGTAATTCAATCTAATACGCGAAATTAAAAAGCAATTAAACAGTTAAAGTTAATTAGACATTTTTCTTGAAACTATGGATCGCTATGATACGTAATGTGAGAATATATGGAACACTAAAATCGCGAGAAGTGTTGCTGGGAATATAGATAAATTATACGCCTGAGAGATATATTTCTGCATTTTGGATTAATTATATTTTGATTTCCCGTAAGTGAAACAAAACGCTCGAAATAATATTTAATTAAATCCCCGCTTTATAGTCCTCGCTGTATAAAATATATTACGCGCATTAACACAATGTTAATTCAATTTTCCGCAGAATCAATATTTCCGCGGCAAATTTAATTAATCGAAAGCAAATAAATCTATCGCAATCGTTGTAATGCCCAAACTATATCGAAATGAAATAAATATTCACACCTTATAGATGTGATTAACCAGCGTGCTAATTTTCAAATTGTCCTCTATGTTTGTTGACATACATACACCAGTTATTCTTTGTATTATTTTATTATTATCATTTTACAATCTTTCGAAGATATTGCTTCCTGTTTTGAAAAATTGTTTAATTTTAATTCAAATTATTTTTAAGAATAAATATCTTGCAGAGCGGGCCCTTTTAACCGTTTCTGTCCCAAGCAGCGCGATCGCGCTGTTCAGATTTCATGTCGAGAAAACCCAGCATATTTCGAGCGTTCTCGACAGCTGACGGCGCGTTACCGTTTGTCGAAGTCGAAACTCTATCGCGCCACTTGGCTATACATCGCCATAATATAAACGAAGCGCTATCGCGCCGCTTGGGATTGTTTGACATAAAATAGAAGTAGCGCTTTCGCGCTGCTTGGGTCACATCGAACCCACTTAAAGGCAGCGCGATCGCGCTGCTTGGGATACGTTGACAGTGTTTTTTCAAAACCCTCTGGAACTCAAACGGTTAAATTTCTTAACGCATTTGCATCCAAGCGCGGAGTATTCCACGAGCCACGACTGTCGTCTATCACCGAGCGCGGAATATTCCGCGAGCTACGACAGTCAGCCTCCCCTGAAGGAGGAAAAGGCTTCCTCCACACAAGGCTCTGGGGTAGAAGGGATTCCTCCTTCCAGGTTAGGCTCTCCGAAGGGTCACCCTCGCGGGCACCCTTCCTGAGAGGTTACCGCATATGCGTCACCCTCAGTTTACAATGAAGAAAGCCAGGGTTTCGCGTGGCTACCTCATATGGCCTGGCCCCGACCTCCTAAGACTCATCTGGCCGCTAGACTCTAACCTCTATACCTTCGATCATCGTGTCCTGACAATGTTTAAAATATCCTACACTATCGTGCCACTCTAATCGTCATTTTCATCATGTTCGAGTACACGTTACCGCTCGGCTCTTACGACGCGCGAGATTTTCCCAATGGATTATTTAAGCCCGATTCCTAGTCGAAATTATCCCAACAAGAACGCACCTGATGTCAGACGTGGTTGCAACGATCGAAGCAGGATAAGCCTGAGCCGGATGCCGGAGAGGAGCGCTTTCATTTCCGGTGTCTGGTCCCGCCTTCGCGATTTTACGAAGACCGACTTTAATACCGTGAAACTGCGCGGATAATAAAAGGATCAACGAGAACTGGGACGGTGCCGGTGCCAAAAAGTTTGATGGGTTCGAGAGAGTTAAAGATACCATATCCCATTGCCGGTAAATCCAGAAACATCGAACAAACGGAAGTAGTAATCCTGACCGAGGAAGTTTAACGACTTGTAAATTGCGACGATCGAATGTGCGCTGATATAAACGTTACGAATGCCATTAACAGCGATGGCCGCTAGTGATATGACAGTCATAACTTTCTCGAGCACTCGAGTGCTAAGCTTTCACGAGCGTTTCCAATATTCGCTAAATAATTAGACTTATTGCGCGGGGTGCTCCGAGAGTGACTAGCTTTTCCTGAAAAGTGGAAAAGCAATTATTAACTGTTTGAGTGCCAAGCGGCGCGATCGCGCTTCTTCTATTTTGTGTCCAAAAGTGCCAGCGCTCTGAGCTGCGAAGCTGACAATCAGCGCGCTCGGTTGGTGAACGCGGAATATGAGAAGCGCTATCGCGCCGCTTGGCAAATATCGATTGGGAAACAATAATGAGCCGTGGCACTCAAACGGTTAATGTACTCGCGAGGAAGGATTTTTAAGATACGTGCATGAAAGTACACGACGTGATTCCATTATCAGATTTAACCGTGATAACGAACATTTGATTATTAAAGTAATTAAATACTTTCCTTTCTTTTTTAAGGAATGTAGGATGATTTGATTAGAAAATTTTACGTCAGTTTCCACAGATCGTGTAATATGTGGAACTTTAAAAATTTTGCATGTGACTAGAGTTGCAATTTTAAATAATCAAACGATTCA